TTCCCACTAGAACTCGTTGAAGATTCGTCAGGCAGCTAGTCACCACTGAGCGATATATATATATATATAACGTACATACATATGACGTATATAATTGAATGCCTCATTTTTCAACTTGAATTGTATTGTTTAATGTTATTTATTCTCTAATAGCATGAAATACAACACGTTTGTCGTATGATTTATAATATTGAATTTATTGATATCCTAAAATTATATATATATATATATATACATATATATATATATATATATATATATATATATATATATATATATATATATATTCAAAGTAACTAACATTAGTGCACATGAAAGTCACATGATTTTCATATTGATTCATAAAATGTTCAAGGAACTTTCATCATCTGTTTGATAAAATAAACAAGTCACAATGTAAAACGTAGAAGAGAATGAACTAACAAACAAAAAAAAGCCTATTCAAAATAATCAATCAATCTTATTCATGAAGTGTAAATGTGTAATAGTGTAATAATTATCTGTTATTATTCAACTAGATAACTCGATTAACTGGTCATAACCATTGATCATCATAGATAGATAGACAGACAGACAGATACAACGCAGAACTCCGTACGTGTAAGTACATCAGTTCAGATTGCCATACCACATTAGCATAGAGACGTAACTGTCAGTTCAAATCCAAGAGTGATAGTGATAGTAAAAGTATTAGCAATAATGGAGAAGATTAGGGAGTGGAGATATGATTCGAGAAGTATAATTCAGTAAGATATATTTAGAAGGAGGAGAAAGGTGGAGATTATGAGGAATTCATCATAAGTGTTTATTAATCGTAAAATTCATTGTTTACAACTTGAAAGCGATTGCCCATTTCAATAAAAAAATAAAACTTTTTTACACATTTGAAATCATCAATCAATCATTGTTAGACCACCATTAGAAACCTGGAAGCACTGAAAGACGGCCGTTTCGTCCTTGTATGGGACTGCTAATCAGCAGTGCTCGCACACGACTGCTGCACCTCGCAGGATTCGAACCCGAGACCTGCGGTATTGTGCGCAAACGACTAACCTTTGGACCAGTGGGTTGGCATCTAACGGTGTTAATGTCTGACTCTGATTGATCTAGAGATTTTGCGCGACCTCAACCATTTGTCTTTGATAGTTACTGCCTACACCCGACAGGGTTGAACTCCATTGGTCATGTCTTCTCAACTAGAACTCCGAGAATTTCCTCACGAAGCTAGTAGTCACTGGTGAGCAAATTTCGCAATATTTTCAATTAGAGTTATGGAGACTAGTGTTTTTACACATTGGATGGACACTGTTGATGACTTCCAGGTCTCTAGTGATGGTCTAACAATAATTGATTGATGATTTCAAATGTGTAAAATCACTATTCTTCATAACTCTTATTTAAAACTTTTTTTATTATTTCTCCGTTATTTTTTTTATCTTTATTGGCTAAGAAAATTAAATATAAGAGTGAATATTGGTTATAATATGCAGTGTATTATATATTATTAGTGGTCGAAACACTGCAAATAAATCATGAAGAGATTAATGAGATATATACAATGGTTTTAACAGACAGGGTGAAGACGCATCCATCTGACAAGTGCGAAATTGGACGAAATGCTACTCATAGATCTTCTTCGATTGTTATGTACTGAATATACTAAAACTTGCGATGATGATGTGATATATCAAGGCAATCCACTCACAAAGCATACAGGGTGGCACAAAATCATCAGTTACAGTCCTAGTTGTCGAAAACGAGGGATTATTGATCCTTACCTATAAAATTATACAGATTGAATCAGTTGGTGGTTAAACAAAATCGGAAGCTTAATGAATAATTCGTTTTCCTTTGAATAACCAAAGGTACTGGAATCAAATGTCAGTGTGAACATCAGTACTAGAATGCAAGAACATCTAGCTAATGGGACCGGAACCGGATAAAACGATTATTCTGTAATCGACTGTTAGCCACATATTGAAATTCACTAAATACATGATAGTATTGTGATATTTAATATAAGTTTATATTCACTAGGTGATACATAGACAGAAGTGATAAATTTATGCTTTTTGATTTTCGTCATTAAACTTGTTTATTGAAGTTGGTTCTTTTGCTTTTATGTTTGTTCAACAACTTGGAATTTACCGGCTACAATGAGCCATAATCTAAACTCAATTTATTGAGTCAAACTTCTTCCTGATATTTGAGAGCTATAAAGTAGTAATTCAACATTAGTCTTATATCTAAAGACCGGAAATACTAACAAAGGAACACAGAAACAACAATTTTTAAGACTAACTTTAGACATTCTGTGAAGGTTACTGAAAAATTAAGCTCTTCAGGACAATTAAAGTTATGGCTACAAAACTTCTAACTTTCATTGTTATTCTGAACAACATCAGCAGCAGAATTTTTACTTCTATCTGAAGTTTGTGCTGATGTTGTTTATTTGAAGAACAATGAAAACTTAACAACCGAAACATCCAGCTCACAATCATCCGCCTGTGCTAGAAATTTTCTCTACCATCTTAAAACTTATAACAATTTTCAAGGAAAATATTAACGTATGTACGATGAAATAGTTTTAGACAATTATAGTCGAGTAAAATTAAGAAAAACATTTTTTAGTTAGCCAGAGAATGATGGAGTACTAACTAGTATAGTTACTAATTTATTGATTTGAACTGTTTAATGCAAATTAGATTTTCTCATCAAGTTCAGAATACATTAAAAAAATATTAAGTTGGTTATAATCTCATTAGTACGGTTTACAGACAGCTACAATAGGATATACACATTTACTTATAACTTTCCTTCTTCATGATTTCAATGAAACGAAACAATCTCCACAACTCTGTAATGAAAATTATCATTTTGTCACTAGTGACTAGCTCCATGAGGAAATTTCTCCGAGTCCTAGTAAAAATGTGTGACCAGTGGAGTTCACCTCTGTCGCATATGAATCAGGGCCCACGAAGACAAAATATTCGGTTCCACACCACTGTGGATTGATTGAAGTTAGAAATTAACACCATTAAATGACAGCTCAGTAATCTAGAGGTTAAGCTTTCGCTTGTGAGAGTCATGGATGCACAATACTGATGAGCCCCATACTTGGACGAAACGACCGTCCAGCGTTACCATATCTCTGTTGGTAGTCTGAGATTGATCAATTCATGATTTCTGAGTTTATATTTTAGGGATGATTCAGACTATCGACTTATATCATAGTAGCCTCTTACCAGTTGTATATTTCTGAATCACTTGTTAATTAAGAATTTTCACCAAACCTTCCTCAAGCGTCATATCTTACACGGCAGCCTCGAATTTGGTTCATTGATTCAGTATGTTTGAAATCTAATCTTCCTAAAACAATCTGTATATGGTTAAAACTTGTTGGTGTATCGATTAATATTATAAGCTTAGTTAGTCAAAGGGTAATTAACTGAACCAGTTATTGACACTGGTTCAAGTCAAATTGAAGGTTTTTTAAGGATTGTAGATATTTCTTACTGATAATTGTCAAGATGAGGAGGGCAAATGTATGCCCAACTCTTTTTCATTATCAATACAGATGAGCATACAGAATTGCTACAATTAATATATAATCATCTGCTTTTGAATCTAATATACGAATCAAGGGTTTCTTCCTTGAATTCAACAATAATTTTTAGTAGCTGATTATCTAAATTTGGCGGAATTTCGAAAATATTTCCATAGTGATGATACTGACGATTTCAAACACAAATAGGCTTGATAAAAGCAATAATTGTACACTTTCTATACAACAGAACATTAATTCTACAATATTTCTTCATTTGAATTAAAAATCTTGAGAGAAATCAAACTTTAAAATTGTAACTATCAATCAGTGAATTCTGAATTTGTCATTCAAGTGAAGAGAGTTTGTATGGATTGATTTTAATTTATAAGTTGCATTCTTTACAGTTTGATCACACTGCTGAGGTATCATTAGAAACTATGAAGCAACGAACAGCTGCTTCGTTCTAATAGGAGATTTTTAAACAGTGAACATTCATGACTTTTTAGTGGTGACCGAGTCGAGATTGATTGACTATGATCACCACTTAATATATTCGTTAGTATCCCGTCAAATATAATAGAAAAAAAAATCCATGGTTCAATATTTATTTGAAGGAGAATGTAGGCAGCAATACGAAAAAGAACATTGCGCGCCAGTCAGTGTTTTTGGTACAATTAAACAAAACGAGTACAATAATAAATGTTTTCTTTTCCCTTTAATCGCGTTTTCTTTGTAGAAGGATTCCACTACAACTTCATCACTGATGGAACTTATGCAATTCAGCTCTCCGCTTCATGAATTGCATGTTACTGGTCCCAAGAAGAATAAATTCTGTTCAAATTGTTAAACGTTTCAAGTGACAGTAATTATCATCAACCTTTTAACTAACTAAATAAATCAGTGCTCCTTGTTTCGATCATCTGATTTCAATATTTAACAAAGTCTATCTTCATTTATTCAATATAATATAGAGAACCAAAAATGGTTCGAAGCAGTTAGTATCACACCCATTTGTCATCGATTCATCTCATCAAACAGTTTGTAAATAAATAAATATATAGATATTTCTTAAAATTTTCTATTGGATCACTTAGAATTCATGGATTTGTTCATATGTCTGGACTAGGGCCAATTATGTGTATGATACAACTTTCATGTATTCTCTTTATTCCATTGTACATTCACAATCAGTCAGTCATCAGCGAATATTTGTATGTCATGTACACGCTTATTGATTAGTTTTTCTCTACTTAAAAACGAATTGATACAGAAGAAAATGGACTAATTTTCGGTCTGATTATATAATATTATATAATACAACTTATTAGTAATGAAAATAATCATTTGTGTTTATGCGAAAAATAAAGTTTATTTCTTCGCATTACGGGGTTGTTGTGAAGATTGTTAAGTTTTATTTGAAACCATGAATCGATCAATGTTGTTAGACCACCAGGAATATAGCAGCTTGACCGAAATTCAGTACAGCTAAACTAGTTGTTGTTCTAAGACTGGCTCTTCGTATTGAGCTTGAAGTTTGTCGTACATTTCTGCTTCACGCTCTTCATTGTTGAAATACTGAACAAAGTGATTTTTTAAATAAAAAAAGAAATGAGAATTTAACAAGTTGTTTAACAACTTTTAAGATTATGTATATCAATGTTTATTGTCCAAATCATAATAGAATTATTGTAGAAAAATAGAATCAACATTTTAAGAGATATTTACTTTCGCTGTAATGTTTTTCATTGGAGTAAATGATTTCCCAACTAATCGCATTAGTGACATTCACGATTTTTTGATAACAGTCATTAAAGGACAATCAATGAAAAGTTACGATTGATCTAAAAACTACTGGAACTTATATTACATTTGTATGAGTAAAACGTAAAGTAACCTTATTCATGATAATGAATACGATGAATTACGAGTGTTGCCAAAAATATGTGAGTGATTATTATTACTTCCCTAAGTCAGTCAGTTACAACGTAGAACTTCGAACGTACGTATATCAGATCAAGTTGCCATACCACATTAGCACAGAGACTCAATTACCAGTTCAAATCTCATACTAGTTGAGATAGTAGAAGTATTACTGGTAATGGAGAAGATTAGGGCTCGAAGATATTATTCAAGAAGTATAATTCAGTGAGAAAACTTCAGAGAGACAGAGGTGGTGAGTGGTTCGGAAGGTTAGGAATTGAGACAGCACAAACGGTGGATGCTAGTGCCGTTGCGAATGGTTTTGAGCCATGTCGTTCAAGGTCTCTAACAATCGATTACTATCGTCTCGCGAACCCCAACCAAGTAGTCTACATCTACCAACATGACTCAGTCCACTTGTCAGTGACTTCATGCATTTCTGCCATGTTTTGGTTTGGTCGATCCTAGTTTTCTTCAACCTACTCCTACACCACAAAACGTGGCTCGACGAGGCAGTCGGTGGTTAGGCATACGTAACACATGTACCAACCACCTCAACTGATGAAGTTTCAATACTTCATCTATTGATTTGCCATCTCTACCTAGAACTCGTTTCCTAACGACAGCATTGCTCAGTCGGTTGTCCCAGGATATACGAACAATGCTTCGGAGACACCTATGATCGAATACAAGTAACCTACGAATGTCCTCTACTCTTAAGGGGTCATGTTTCGCATACGTATAGTAGGACAAGTTTAGCTGAATATTTTGGTTGTTTGGTATTTCTATATTGCCTCATTTTTAATCTCCTCGTACTTTCAACCTATTAACTGTTCGTAAATTATTTACTAAGCATAAATTACAGTTAACTAATGATGTATGTTATTTAGCAGTGTACTACAAATGATCTAGTTATGTATAGTGTCGTGTTCTATTTACTGATGAGATGTGGTCTTGTAACTAACGTGTATATTATTATCATGTGAGTATTAGTCAGAGATATAAATATATAGTAAGTCAGCTGACTTGCTTCCATTTTGACTAGACAGGCTAAACACAGTAATGAGTTTCGTGGGTCAATCAGTGTTAGTAAACTGGTAGGCATCGGTACATAGCGTAAATTCAATAAATTGTTGGTCGTATTAAATCACTAAACATAGGTGAATGAATGATGTCTATCTACTGTGTTACACTTACTTTTACAGTTTCATAATTAATAAGCGAATCTGTAGCTTGACTTGCAGCTCGTCCATCGGCTTTATTCATTTGAACACGAAATTGAGTACGCCAACGTGTAACAGCAAATGTGAACAATGTGTAAGCAGCTATACAGCTTAATGCAATTGTACTGGCTGCTACTCCATATTTATAATACTGAACAGAAACAACAAACAGAAACATTAGGCAGCGGAAATTATGACGATATAGACAAACATAATTTATAAAGAACTATATTTCATTATTTCATTACAGTTGATCTGGTTATTCTTCATCTTATACTTTATTTTCACTCTTGCTACTGAGGCATATATATATAACCAGAATACACTAATTTTGAGATAACTCTTGGAATTAGTGAAGTCAAATGACTTGAGAACTTTTAATGAAACCATATGCCAGCAATAAGACGAAGGCATTAAGAAGCTAATTAGCATTCAACAGCTCATTACAAATAAATTGGATATCACAGCATTATTTAGCACAATTTTTAAGTTTTTAAGTGTCCAATTAGGCCGGGACTTTCGTATTACTTCAGCACTCATAATCAAATTATGAGCGGTTCTGAAAGTGAGCCCATCCCCGATGGTGGAACATCTGGTTATCACGTATTGCATGAGAGATATCTTCGAACTATTCACAAACAGTCATGTAATCGTTTGTTATCTCATATGTTTCATTAATAGGATGTTACTGAAAATTGAATCCTACATAATTTAAGGGCCGAGTTAGCGACTTGAAATATTTGTTTTAATAAATCACCCTATTTCTAGATTACGTAATAAGAAGAAAGACAAAAATGAACAACTTAATTATGTAGTTGTCTAGCATCAAGAACAGAGTTATTCACTTTACATCGGGCTTCACTCCAAGTGTGTGAGGGCTACCTAGTTGTCCAAAGCGAACTAGGTGGGGCGGGATTCGAATCCGTAGCTGCGTGACTGAAAGTCGAATGCTTTAAACATTAAATCAATGCTACGCATTTAAAAATGGCAACATTTCATATAAATTATTCATACTTAATGTGAGTTAAGATTTTAATATTGTACAATAAACACAAGGTAAAAATATACAGCTACATTATTGTCAAAAGCTAATCAATAATTAGTCGTTTGTTTATATAATTGATAAAACTGAAATTGAAATTTTTTGCAGTCTAAATTTACACATCTATCCATCTAATACAGTATGCACATGTTAAGTAGGAATGATTGAAAAATTTTGATGAATACAATACAGAAACATGTTACAAGATATCAAACCCAATGTCAACGGAATTATTTATTTTAAGTTGTGTCCGTCAGGGATGTCTACTCTCTCCATTCTTGTTCAGTTTTGTCATAGACATGCTGCTAGATATAACATTATCTACGTCTGAATTTTCAGGAATACACCTTTTACAAGGAGGATCTCTTATTGACCTGGAATATGCCGATGACATAGTTCTATTCGGTGAAGATGCCGATAAAATGCAGAGTCTTCTGACTACCCTAAGCAACAATGCAAGCATGTTCGGGATGCAGTTCTCCTAGTCGAAATACCAAGTGTTGCTTCAAGATTGGGTTGCATCGGCACCTGAACTAGTAATAGGGAGTGAAGTAGTCGAGCGTGTAGACCGCTTCACTTATCTTGGGAGTCTCATCAGTGCCGATGGCCTGGTGACTGACGAAATCTCAGCTCGGATACAGAAGGCTCGATTGGCTTTTGCCAACCTGCGTCACTTATGGCGTAGGCGAGATATCCGTTTGCTGACTAAAGAACGAGTGTACTGTGTAGCAGTTCGTTCCGTCCTACTGTACGGATGCGAGACTTGGCAGTTAAGAGTAGAGGACATCCAAAGGTTACTAGTCTTCGATCATCGATGTCTCTGAAGCATTGCTCGTGTATCATGGGACAACCGTATAAGCAATGCTGTCGTTAGGAAACGGATGCTAGGTAAGGATGGCAGGTCAATAGAAGCACTTTAAAAAAGTAAAACTTATTTAGAGTACTGAATTCATTATTTACCAAATGAATTATTAACCCGAAGTTTGTTTCAATGAAACAAATACTACATGACTTTCTTTTGAATATCGTAAAACAAGTTTACCAAACACTTATTATATAACATTAAATATTAACGTTTTGATAATCATAAGTAAATATGATGAAAACTTGTAAAGAATTTACTCTAATCAAACGATGAGCTTCATTTAATGGATGCATTGACTATGATTAGCAATTTATTCTTGACTAAATAAAACTGTTAAGAGTGAAAAATGAAAATACTAGTAAAAATATGATTTTGTTATTCTCAACCAACACTGAAAAACAAAATCGAGAAATAAAATGTGTAAAAAATAAAAAAAATTACAATCTTACCAAGATTCCCGTGACAACAGCAACTTCAAATGTAGTAGGAAATAAATTGAAAACCATAGCAGTCAATATAAAATTTATTCCTCTAGCGCCACGATCAATAGCTTTACCTAATGCACCAGTTCGTCTGCCAAGATGATAACTTAAATCAAGATTGTGCATATGTCGAAATACTTGAACTCCAACATCACGAATTGAAGAAAGAGCAGCCCTAGCAAAAACTGCAGAGCGTAATTCATTTAAACCAGAAGCAGTAGCTCTGAATAAACCATCTGTGAACAAAATATGGTTGTAAACAGTACAGTTTTATCACCTCTTAAGGTACATTAGCTTATGTAATCAAAATAACCCTAAAAAAAATATACTAAACAGAAGTTTTTATACTAAGTACGAAACCAGACCTTTTTACTGAAGACATGGTGGTAACCGTACTGACAAGGGTTGGAATTCCAACCAGTACTCTATTATTTGAACAGTTAAGCATCTTTACCGCCAGCCAAGCCATTGTTACACTTATTTATCGTAAATCAATTTAAATGGACCGATCAGTTGACGTGATATAAAACGATAAACGGTAATTCGACACGATACACATCCTTTTATTTATTGATTGATTTTTAGTATTACAAATCATTCACATAATAAAATATTTGGGCTTAAAGTGAACAGATATATTCTTAGCTCATTGCACTTAACAAAGAAGAAGAATTCATAGTACGAATTGACTGTAGAATGGTATATAACTTTATCTCATCCCCATTCTTGTGATATGGCAACTTGACCCAAATAACATTTCATCCAGGTTGTATGACGATTACGGATATATTTTAAACAATTACTTGTTTAATCATCTGACTGTATTTATTTTGCAGACTATACAAATTTTCACTATTTGTATTCTATCCCACTTACATTATGTTTTGTTTCATACAATCGCGTTATTGTCTGTTCAGTTGTGTTCATGTGTGATCAGAGAGCAGAATTCATGGTAAAAATGGCACACAACAAAAGGAGATATCAATTACACAATTTAACACGAGGGAAAGAGACAAAAGATGAAAGAAAAAAACAATAATACTTTCAATACCCAAACTTATGAATAAATGAAATTGTCTATAAACTTGCTAATTAAATAGCAAGAAATGACTAATGCTTTTATCTACAATTTGGTTCTCGAACATAATGTACTTATGCATAATGCATGTCAGTTATAACTTAACAAATGAATGCAGTTTCTTCAAATAAGCACATTGATAAGGGTAGTAGTAGTAGTAGTAGTGTGGTGCGAGCTACTTATAAGTGGTATATGACGTGAGTGTCAACGTAATGTCTGGCAGCAGAAGATGAAGGAAAATCAAGAAAGGAAGAGTTAGGAACACAATGGAATTTGTATGAAACGCATGAACAGTGAATGTAGACAATGGATTGATGTTTTGCAACAGGAACAGTCCAGTTCGATATGATGAACTGATATTTTGCAAATTAACGATTTACGATATGGTTTTCCGATTTTACTGAGTAACTCTGTAATCTTCGTTAAATACAATCCGGTTGCCCCACCTGTGTTCTCGTTCACTACAGTAGTAGTAGTAGTAGTAGTAGCAAATAAACATGGCATTTAAGCAACTCCGTTTAACGCAAAACTGTGGGAACTTCTTCAATGCTAGACGTGCATTAACACAGATAACAGTTAACAAATGATGTACAATCAGTTCCTTCCTAGTAGAACCCAAGGCTAAAAATCAAGGACAAAATAATTTTGCAGACTTCAGAAAACATACTTAGAATGGTGATGAGTTTCCTGACAAAAAAAATTGTATTTCACATTGGATATACCTATTATTGAGTAGATGTAATACAATTATCCTCACTTTTTACTGGTTCTTACAAAACACATGCTGGTTAAGTACACTATTTACAATTTATATTCTTACCAATAAACACGAAACAAATTTCTTACACGAAATAAGAATAGTTGTAGCTGCGGTAGTAGGACTTGTATCGCTTAATAGTAAGGGAGTTTCTCCTGACAAGCAGTCTACAGCAAGTTTGAAAACAAATGGAACCAAAACATTCACAAATTTGGAAGATAATAACAATACCATTGCTGCGACTACACGCAAACGAATTTCCGGTCTATCCTTTGGCCAAACATATTTTAGAAGTCGTCTAATGATGGTCCAATCAGATAAAATCTAAATAAAATCACAATGTAGTCACATAAATCAACACTAATAAGTATGAGGGTAAGAAGCTAAAAAATTGATTAACCCCGCTTTAAAGGAAACAATGGGGACAAAACAGGATTCACATAGTAACTGATAGCTAACCCATGTTTTGATTGGTGTAACAGCTGATACTTTTCATTAAATAAATTTATCTGAGTAAAAAGCAGTGTTGCATATTTTACTTTAGGATGTCTTGTGAGAGAAGACAGTGTTTTAGACTCAGAATCTTAAAATATAAGAGAGCCTAGAAGTTTGTTTACATGATAATGCTCTGGTTTACATTGCACTAATACAAAAAGTGAAAGATATTAATACGGAACGCAAGCAACGGATAAATGAGCAATTAATGAAATATGTAAGCGCTTGCACAAAGAGGTACTTCAGTATCTGTGCGCCACACAAACCAAAATTTTATGAGATGGGATCCTGTCTCCGCCAGTAGAACCTTCGGGTCTACTGCCGGTCCCAAGCCCGTATAAAGGAGGAGGGTTGGACATAGGGTTGGCGACCCCATTCCGTCAAAATCCAACTTGCCAAAAAAACTCTAACCGGAAAAAAAATCCTGTCTGTCTGAGGGCATAAACCGAAGTAGGTGGTTTTGCTACGGAGCGAATTCCCAAGCACTTAATCTACAGGTATAATTTCCATGGCAGTGGATAAACATCAGGAGACGTATCACCATGATAGCTGGTGACCAACAAGAGGTTCGTACACTATTTGTTCCTTGGGGATCGTGAAGCGCATCTGCATCATTGGTTTGGAACCAGGGTTTTCTGACTCACCTAGGCGAATCCCCTGTACCTATTAACCCGGTTTAAGCGCCAGCCGGACATTCACTCAACATCTTACCACTTTCGTAAACAACACTCCTGCCATGAGAAGGCAATGAGTAGGACTTTTATGATAGTGGCTATACTCGCGTGACCATCGGAGAATTTGAAGAGGAAGAGCAGACTCTCCCCACTCTCTGTCATACCAAGGCATTTAGAAGCCAAAGAAATAATCTATTGTGAGAGAAAACGACCTTTGTTTGCTACTGAAATTAATCCAGTAGATGAAAGCTGGATGGTTTTATATTCACACAATATGTATAACAGATGTTTATATACAACGCGACCAGAATATTCAAGAGATTATAATAAAGTTTAAGATTTATCGCAGCATGTTCTTGCAATTTTGAACGATTTACACAATTAGGAATGAACTGGCAAATACTAATGGAACAAGCCAGCTTCATAAATGAAACTAGACAATGACACTAAGAAAGTAGAATAACAACGCTTATGATATCATAATCCCAAAGGAATCTTGTGAACGCAATCAATATTCATGAGGGCTATGCTGACCAACTCTGAACAAAGTAATAGTGAGGTTGATATACAAACCTCACTTACTCGCATATTTCAACAAAGGATTAAAAAGTCAAAATTCTAAAGCTTTTAACTCCATGACAAATCAAGGGGGGTGGAGAAAATTATCAACTCAAGTGGATGTTTATGGCTGGATTTTTGTTCTCTGAGCTAGATATTTTGGTAGTATTTTCAACATGCACTGACATAAGGCATATTTCATGGCGTTTGGTTGCTAAATGATATTTAAGCGGGAGGTGAAGGAATCGTTCAAGTTGTCCAGAATAGTTTGTTTTGTAGATGATGTCTGGATTTTCTTCTTTTGTCACTTCGTCCATTGGTTTGCATTGGAATGAATGAAGTGATTCTGCTGGTTTGTAGTGGGCTGGTTTTCGATATACTTGCATCTCCAATCTGGTTCTATAGGTCGTGGTGATCGAAAAATCCAAGGATGAGTTTAATGTTTGGCTTTTTTCTATTGTGAAATTTATGGCATCGAAGAGGTCGTTCATCAGCAAGTAGGTGTTATGAGAATAGTCTCTTAAGTTAATGACGAATATGTTGTTCATATAACTAACCCACCACCAGTAAGATCAAGGCACTTGATCTCCGCATCACAGCTTCTGTAGGTTCGTATACTGGTGATCCCACTGGCCCTTTTGTTTTTTCGTAGATTTGTTGAATTGAAAATATGTTGTTAAGCAAACATCGATGAGTTCATTAAAGTTGAAACTTTGTTTACTTTGTGAGATTTGTCTTTTATGGGGAGCAGAGATCACGCTTCTGTCGCTAAACTTGGTTCTACCAAGGTGAATAAGGCTATTACATTGAGGTATATCATTAGCTCATTACTACTGAGTTGAAGCTCCCTAACCGTACCCAAGAATTGTATGGGAAATCCAGAGTGATTGGATGAATCGATTATATCATCCAATATTCTTGAAATTCCTCCTGATAAATTGTGTATTCATGTTTTTGGAGGGATACAAGTGGACGTAGCGGGATGGTCGGTTTGTGTAGTTTCAGCCCAACTCAGAATTACGAGAGCACAAGTTAACTTTATTTCATTCTCCATTGATCTTGTTTTTATATTTTTTTCTACTCTGACAGGGTTTTTATAGGCGTTTAAGACTAAGTTGTCAGACGCGCTGATAGGATTTGTGTAAATCGGTTTATATATGCTTTTATCGTCAAGTAGATCTATCAGCTTTCGCTTAGTTCAAGATTATAGTAGTATGTTCTTTGTTCGCCGAAACTATCACATCTTTCTTAGTTAGGTTTCCCAAAGGCATTTTCTTCTTCAGTGGGTAGTTGGATGTTGTCTTCCTATTGTCGAGTCAGTGATATTACGGTTTGTCATATTTCCTGTTGTGTATCTTCATTTGTTCCATGTTTTGAATGATGACACTACCAAACCATCAAGCTCAGAGAACAAAACAAAAGGAAGCCGTAAGTGTGACCAATCTACTAAGCAAACAATCCTTATCTGAAAATAACAGGTTACACAAGAAAGCGGCACGAAATCGATAGGATACGCGTGACTCCACTTACCGCTTTTGGTTCCAATATTGGATTTAATAGACTATCTGGACCACTATGAGAGTGCTGAAACCTCGTTGTTGGAATTCGAGTAGCGGGAAGACGAGGTACATCACTAGCTCTTTTAAATAATTTGTATCTTCCGTTCACATCACGGGAGCTAGTGGGAAACACTTCCAACGCTGATTTACTGACTAAGAACTTCGGAAATACATTACTCCTAAATAAACACGTATGAGTAGTAGCGAGTAATTTGGGAGTCCTGTTGATCATTACAAATAAAAAGAAGGGATACTATTCATTTGGAAATGTTGTAAGACATCCATTCCACAAAGCCACCAAGTACGTTCACGAAGCTTGGCGAAGGTGGAAAGAAGACAGGTAGAACTTCATCCAATGGTACGTTTGAGTTTATCCCGAAGATAACTTGTGTTATGCGGGGGTGAGGAGCAGTAAGATTATCTAGAAGAGAAAGGAGCACAAGAAAAAGTGGGCGATGACTAAGCAAACACATAGAATGAACTAAAATTTAAAAGGGAATGCCATATAAAGCAACTAGAAAGAACATAAGCATGATATTAAGACAAACTGACAATCAAAACTGGAAGATCGTAGAGTAAGGCTTGGAATGAATTACACAAATGCAGGTTAAATCGGCCTCCTCTGCACATTAGCGACCTTGAGAAGCTTTTTCAAGGCTGCATCGCTTATTACAATATCCAATATATTTTGAACGCCTGGCCTCTTAGCGCTTAATTCTTAGCATTTCGGTACGGTTCCAGGTATTTGGTATATTCCAACGGATGATGGCCACGCCACTTGACTGCACCAGTTCCAGTCAGCTGGGAGCTGTTTGTGAGTTTGCAAGTCTCATGGTTTGAATGAAGACTTTTGTTTCAGGACTGTAGAGTTTCTGGATACCAGTAGATATTACGCTGCAGTGTGCAGAATAATAAGCAGAAAAGCCTAATGGTAAGAAGAAGAAGATTTCAGAAATAATTAAATTAATGTGTAAATAAGTTAATTAAATGGTAGTGGAGATAGTGCGAAGGGACCGAAGTTTAAGCGAGGAAAAGGAAACAGCGATTATAAGCGAGACTAAGTTAATGATCTGAGAAGATGGCAGTAACGATTTTTAGCTAGTCCCCAGACAAGCGTGAGGCACAACTTGTCTTAAAGGAAGATGATAATCTGTGTGAACATCAGGAGGACGAGTGGACTTAAGATGGCAGCCTGTGAAACTCCTGATGCTGAGACTGGCATGCTTGTATGCACTCTGTTTATCTTAGCGCAAAACCTTCTTTTCTCTTGGTAGTATCTTAGCCAAGATAGAAGAAGCTCAGTGAATCCCATCTTCGCAAACTATGCAATAGGGAGAGTTTAGTCACATTATGGTGACTTTCCTGGGTTCAAGGACTTTCTCAGTGCTAAGTCGGAGTAAGTTGAATATTTGGTAGGCCATCAATTGGTACTAGATTTGATTGGTACTCTGAAAATGTAGCTACCTAGTTTACCTGATTGGTAAAGTGGTTTTTAAATATCTTAGCCATCCCAAGTTTGATGATTTCTTCATCATTTGGACTCTTGAAAGCGCAAGCACCCCCAGTCTTAAGTTTTCTTTTATTCATGAACCTCAACAGATATTTCGGGTTCGCTTGTATTTTGCCAGCTAACTTCATACTGAAGTATCTCCTATCGCTTCATACCTTGACGCCGTATCTGTTTCTCAGTGTAAAATAAGAACTACGATCTGACCTCTTCAGATAGATTTCTTTCACTTGTGCCCAGCGTTCAGTGCCTGGCTTACCCTATTTTCTTATCTTCCCAGACGTGTGTTTGCCTGAGCCTACAATCTGTGGAACAGCATTTTCAATGTTGTTTCTCACAATCTGCCGATGGCCATTGACACCAAGTACCCGCAGTTCCCGTGGGGTGTGTAGAAAAAACTCTCTCATGCAGATGTCGTGTCTCCTACTGTAGTGAAGGTAGGACACTTTTTGACCCGCATGAGTATTTCGTTCACGGACTATTTAAACACGACTACATCATGAACATGAACATCTTCCATCAGGAACTGATATTCTTTGAACAGTAATCCAAGTTCACTGATTTTCTAACTTTAGTCTATCTGGTGGCGTCGCTACATGCTGAGTCAGTCCTCAACGTTTAATTGATGTGTCAAGTTGTCTTAGGAACTGACCTGTGAGAGTTTTTCCTGTTCGCTGCGACTTAAATAAAGAGCGTCGATATCTCCACCTGAGAGTATTTGATCAAGGATGGTAGTTACAGTATTGTCTTAGGCAACTTATCTTTCTGGCCTTAGTACTTAAGTGAGGCCGTTAAGTTTCTCCAGTCAAGTAGTGTATGCAGTTTTTATTTAAGCAACACTAGCACGATTCTGTCAGAGTCGTTAGTTGAGTGATGTGTAGTCTTTCGGCTTTAAACGGCTGTTAATTATAAAAATAGCCACTTTGCCTTCTAACTCCGCCAGTAGAACCTTCGGGTCTACTGCCGGTCCCAAGCCCGGGTAAAGGAGGAGGGTTGAACATGGGGTTGGCGACCCCATTCCGTCAAAAAGTAACTTGCCAAAAATCACTTCCCAGAAAAATAATTCAAGCCATTTTAACTCTGCCCTGGGAGTTCGAGGAAGAATTATGACGTCACGTGATGAAAGCCGAGTTCCCTCGGAAGTCACGGGGCCGATGCCTCTTCTGAAAACCAGAGCAACCATTCTTTCAGGTACATGGAACGTTCGTACATTGTGGGAGACTGGAAGACTATTTCAAGTTGCTGCAGAAATGAAAAGATACAACCACGAGATGCTCGGCATCAGTGCAACGCAGTGGACACATGTAGGTCAACTAAGACTAGCCTCAGGGGAACTGCTGTTATACTCTGGTCATGAAGAGGAAAACGCTTCACATACACAAGGAGTTGCACTGATTCTGTCCAAACATGCACAAAAGGCACTAATAGGATGGGAATCTCATGGACCGAGGATCACTAAAGCGCCCTTCAAAACAAAGAAAGAGGAGATTACAATGAACTTCATCCAATGTTAAGCACCTACCAATGACTACAGTGACGACGTTAAAAATCAATTCTACGAAAGGCTGCAGTCAATCGTCGACAGATGCTCATCAAAGCACTTGACCATTCTGATGAGAGACCTGAATGCCAAGGTTGGAATGGAAAACACTGGATATGAAGACATCATGTGACGACATGGGCTGAGAGAAAGGAACGAAAACGGTGGGAGATTTGCAAATATATGTTCGGTGGCACAATATTCCCGCACAAACGCATTCACAAAGCCACATGGATTTCACCGGACCACACTACTCAAAGCCAAATCGACTATATCTGTATCAACAAAACGTTCAGAAGGACCATGGAGGATGTGAGAACCAAGAGAGGAGCTGATATAGCATCAGATCACCACTTGCTGGTCGCCAAAATGGAGGTGAAACTGAAGAAGCACTGGACAACGGGGCAGACAACATCACAGACGTTTAATACGGCCTTTCTTCGGGGTACTGTAAAGCTCAACGAATTCAAGATAGCCCTCACCAATAGGTTCCAAGCCTTGCAGGATCTACTCAATGGAGAGGAAGCAACCTTGGAGAACAATCGGAAAAGTAATAGGAAGGCAACCACTTCAACATGCCATGAATTTCTGGGTCAAAAGACGTACCATCACAAGGTGTAGAATCTATTTTGAAGGTTTTTGTTTTTGGAAAATCCCTCCATGTATATATATTTGCGTTATGATAGGACTGACTCTTTCTGTGGATATTTTGGTACTCTATTTGATTCCATTTTGAGATTTTATCATTGTATACTGTTTTCATTTCTATATCTTGTACTTATATTGAAGTTTTTATGTTTCCTTCTGAACTGTACATATGTTATTTAAATTTAATACTTAATATGGTTACAGCCATTTTTGGATTTGATACTCTAGCAGTAACGGACTGGAAGCACTTATTCTTCCAGCAACGGAACCTATTGCGGTAATTGGAAACTCGAAGGTGTAATCTTGTTTTTGGTAATTGTCTGTATTTCCCTTTTAATTAGAACAGAACTGTTTTCTCCCAGAATTATCGTTTTTGGTCCTGGACAGGGTGAGACGCGTATGAACCTACACTTTTCGAGTTAAAGGCGAACTGCAAGAGTGATTATAACTCTATAGTTCAAAAACAATATTTTGAGGAGGATCTTTTGGATTTTTTGTCGCTTTATAGTTCAAAAACAATACTAGTTAGAAATTTTTAAATTTGCTTTGATATTATTGTATTGCAAGAGTTAGTATTCGGCTTGTCTCGGGACTGTGGTATAATTAAAAAGGGAGTCTTTCACACCGCGAAATTGCTCTTCTGTTAGCCATTCAAAATTTTATGAAAGGAGAACTGATAAAATAATGTGTGGTGGAAAATAAACGAGAGATTATCTTTCTATACTTTCATTTTTACTGGTAAGACATCAGTTCGGTCGATTTTTGGTAACCCCTAAAGATTGATTGTCATCAAACTTAAAGCTTCTCCTTGAAAGTGCTGATTGATTAGCCAGCTACTACTCGTTGGAGTAATGCGTTCCAGTCATTCCTCACGAAAGTGGTTGATGGACTTGAATTCATGCTTGATAACGAATACTTTCAACTACCAGAATTTAACCCTTGTCATACAGTACGAAAGACATGAACGTTTGGCCCGCAAAAACCAAAGAGCGTATATATAATTTACTTAACTGGAGGTGCATCATCATAAGAAGTTCACCATTCATATAGTTCAGCAGGCTCACCAACACTAATATAAATAAATCACATTTAAAAGAGAATATCGCCATCATTACACGCGATCAAATAGTATTTTCATATGATGCCTGTACTAATGGTGTTATTCACATATAAATACTGAACGGTAGAAAAACGTTCGCTCAGTTTTGTTTAATGCAGGGTAAAAGTTCTGGAGAAAGAATGAAACTCGCGGAAAACTCGCGATAAAAATAGAGTAAAACTCATCTCCCTACCAAGATCTCTCAGAAAAATGATAGGAAACTGAGCACGAACCGTAGATTGAAGTTCTTGCTACTGTCACAGCTCTGATCTTGAGTTCACTTGAAAATTCAATAAAATGTTGCGTCGTTCTAAAAATGATTACGGTACTACAGAAAAATCCTTTTTCGGTTCATTATAGACTAAAAATGCAGGCGTTAGTCGATTACTCATTTCACATAATTTAATCATAATAATAATAATAATAATAATTTATTCTCAAATAACTACGTTACAAGAGTCACGCCAGTTTACAGGCTAGATCAAATTGTCACAAATGCTTTCACAATTACTGTAAAAGTTATAGCAGTTAAATTAAGTATAAGAGACAGTTTCTGATTGCATATTTACACCATATCACTGACAGAAACAGTATTATACAGCCACATTTTCAATATTAGAGTACAAATGAGGAAGGTGCACAATAGGTTCTATTGGCGATTGGCCGAGATCAATAGTGAATTTGTTGGGAAAGGTCATATGGAACGCGCTTGATACGAGCTGTGATCCAGACAGTCATGCACATTGGGTGCATGTTCCCTAGAGTTGCCAAGGACTTCCCACCGTGAATGGGGTTCTGAAAAGGAGAAGAGAGAGAGGAAAAGGCAGCAGTGTGGCAAGTGTATATATATAACCAAAGCACTACTTAACCTGTCATGTTGAAGTAGTCAATACAGTAGTAAGTCAAGATAAAATTCATACTGACCACTTAAATTAAAGTAAATTATGGGAATATAAGAATATAACACACAGATAAAGGAGTACAGCAAAAAGAAGGGAGAGTTGTGCAGTGTCAGGTGGATAGAAGAGAAGTCGAAGTAAGGAGCTGGATTTATGTACGTTGAAATCGAAATTCTGGTTAAAACAGTAGAGTTTGTAAAAATAAATATTTGAGGAATAAAATCTCGCACTGTCTAACTGTTTTTTCCTTTATTATTGAATGCCAACCTCTAAGTCATACTGTAAGCGCCTGAGTAAGAATGTTGCAGGTGTCTCGACAGAATAGCGACCTCAGCATAGTTTTGGAAACATGAACCACAGAAGTAGCAAGCGTATAAGAGCAACCTCAGTGTTACTGATTAGTCGTCTCATCAATCTAAAGAGCCGAAAGCAAACAAAATGTTCTGCCCCACAAACATGGGTTGTTTGAAGTTATCGCCCATACCATCAATGTTTGCTGGTCAGTAACTCCACCCTCCCTCCTTTTGTGTTGTTAGGCTCATGTTAAATGTTTAAAAGAAGCTATTGAGTTCTACTTGGTGTTCTATGTCTCGCATCCTGTTGAGAAACACTATTTCTGCAAGTTCCTTTCACAAACTCGTCTGGCTATTACAACTTATGAACTATTGGTTAGGCATCAATGCTATACAGTTAACAGTTATGGAGAAATAGTAAGGATTTTCAAACAAGATATAAGCATTTAGAATGTAGTGAGGGAGATGTACTTAACTAGCTAAGCAGGAGATATAAAGAGTATCATAGTTCAAAGTTGAGCAATAGATAACACTAAGAGATCAAGGTAAGTCAATAGCGTGTAAGTGAGAACAGTATAATTGATAATAGGCAATGTGAAACTCACACAGTTGTAAGTGTTGATAAGGTTGCGCCCAGGAGAGTAGAGTGCATTCTAATCAACCAGTTTACATTTGAACAGTGTCGAACAACCCAGTTAGTAGAGTAACCGGTCTATTTCAAATAAAAACTAAAGAGATTTATATTCAACTAGAAAAATTAGTGCTACTTGGGAGTGTAAAAATAACTAAATAAGACGCAGCACTGAGTTCATTGTGTTTAAAGTGTATGCAGAGCTATTAATATGAAAGCAGGGTGCGAGTGAGTTCACGAGCGCAGAAGAGTCAGTGCAACTGAGAGCATCATTATGAAGTTGAACAAACTCATGTAACCCACTTGCCATGCGTATTTTAGAGGGAAGCCTATTCCATATAAGTGCATACTTAGAGAGGAAGAAGTTT